CACCCCCCACCCCAGGCTGGGAAGTAAGAGCACTAAGGCACCCTTTTTAATAGCTCATAGAGCTGACATGTAACACTTAGTTACATAGCAAATACAGTGGCAAATACAGTGTTTCAGGTCCAGTTGACCCAGGTTGTTGTTTCTCAGGAAAGCCTGGATTTTTTCCGCAGTGGAGAGGCTACCTGGTTGATTTGTAAGTAAAGCTTTCCACTTCTTCTCCACATCCTACCTCTGGTCTTCACCAAGGACACCATCAGGCAAGTCAACCAGCACCCACTTGTATAAATTATTGATATAATCCCCACAGGGGAGGATTCCTTGGGCCTTGGCCTGAGAAGAACAGTTTGAAACATGAGCTGTGATAATGGTTGTTCCTTTTATGCTGTTACAGTAGAGTCATGATTAGAAAATTGAGTTCTACTATAGACAAGAGGTAAATCTTTGGTGAATCTACATATTGGTCAATCTAGAAAAGCTTGATGTTACAAAGATCCCTACTCTGTGTTGTTGATGTTTTACTCCTTGGCTCTTTTACTCTTTGCTCTTTTGGGGGGGCACCACCCAGCTCCCAAATAAATCACACACGGAGGCTTATTTTTACTTATAAATACCCAGCCCTTAGCTTGGCTTGTTTCTTGCCAGCTTTTCTTAAATTAGTGGGACTACCTTTTGCCTCTGGACCTTTTTCTTTTCTTGCTTCTGTATATCTTACTTTTACTCTTACTCCATGGCTGGCTGGCTGGCTGGGTGACCAGCCCCTGACATCCTCCTCTCCTTGTTCTTTCTTGCTCCTTATCCCTCTTCTCAGATTTTACCTCCTATTTATTCTCTCTGCCTGCCAGCCCCTCCTATCCTTTCTCTTGCCTTGATACTGGCCATTCAGCTCTTTATTTCACCATCAGGTTTAGACAGGCAAAGAATCACAGATTCACAGAGTTAAACAAATGCAACATAAACCAAAGTAACACACCTTAAAATAATATTCTGCAACTATGTGCTTTCATAGTTCCACACATCCACTAACTTGTCATTATTTGTAAGTAAATATTGGGTGATTTTTTAATCCATGTCAGAAACAGAAGACCTCTCTGAGTTATTCATAGCTGTTGCTGTTACCCCCAGAAATCAGGCCACATCCCTTCAGTATCCTTCCTCAAGGTTGGTTATAGATGGACTGTGATCTTGTAACTCTCACAATGTTCTCTGTCTCCCCTCTTAAGCTTCGAGCAAGCTCAGCTCCTGATACCTGGGCCAAGACAATCTTGAATTGCAACTTTACTCTCTTGCCTAGGCCTTCCACCATGCCATGGGTCATATAGACTAGGTCAGGCCAGATCACATGGTATGGAACTAAAAAAGAAAATACCACCACCACCACCACCCCCCAAAAAATGTATGAGTCAGAAACTTCCTTTGTTCTCTGAATCTGAGGGAGCTAATGGAACTGAAAGGTTTGTCTTTTCCTTCAGGGATCCTCATGGCTGCCTAGACTATGATGTCATCTCCTCCAATGCTCTCCCACTTCAGGGCTCCTCATGGATGTTTGTGGCCATGAACCTTCAACTCTCCTAGCAAAGTTCTTCTGAAGGGAAATTTATTTCCGTTTCTTTTTCTATTAAACTCCCCCCACCCCACTTTCTAACCCTACTGGACCAATCAATCACTTTATTTGGCCACAACCTTCCAAACTATATTGTCTCAAACTGGGAATGATTAGTCCTACATATAAACTAAGCACCTAGAGATGTCCCAGACCCTCCCCCCATACTCCTTCCTCCCTTCCTTCTTTGTTTGCTTGCTTTTCTTTTTCTTTTCTTTTTTTTTTTTTGAGACAGGGTCTGTGTGTGTGTGTGTGTGTGTGTGTGTGTGTGTGTAGAAGTCTGGAACACACTATGTAGACCAGGCTGACCTCAAACTCATAGAGATCTGCCTGCACCTGCCTCCCAAGTACTGAGATTAAAGGCAAGCGCCACCATTTCTCGTTAGACTCACTCCTTTTGTAATTCTTGGCCCAGCAATATAATTGTTCAGTTGCAGGCTCTGGCTGGCCCCTGCCTTCTGGAAGCCCCATTCCCTCCCTCCCCTTCTCTCTCTCCCCAAACCCTGCCCACTCAGAGAATTTTTGAACAAAGATTCCCAAAAGCCCAGTTCCCACATTCTTGGTGGCTACTGTTGCTTCCTTCCCTAAAGATGCCAGCTGCCCAAATCTCCACCTAAGAGCTCACTCAGCCTTTGACCATACTTGGACACAACCCCAGCTTATGGTAGAAACATCATCACCCATCACCTACAGTCTATAAAACTTTCCTGGCCTGGCTTGGGTGTGCAACTTCTCTGGCTTGCTCAATATACCTGTTGTTATACTTTTTCAATCCGGCTTAATCTGGATTACCGCATTGACAGAGAAATTTATTTGTGTGGGGGAGGTGCAAAAATCTATTAATAATGAGCTTTTTAAAGATAAAATCTCATCCATCTCTTCCTCATAAGCCCTGGGAGCTCCTAGCCATCATAGGATAGATATGCAAGGCAAGCCCTACATCACTTCTGCTTTCTTGCTTCGGGTCTTGCTGTGTAGTTCCTTCTTCCTGCTTTCTTTTCTTTTTATCCTTTAAATCCTGTCTTCCCTGGCCAGGCCAACTGTCCCTACTAAGTGCTTTCATAGTTCCCCATACCTACTAACTTGTCATTGTAAGTAATTATTGGTATGATTATTTATGTCTGAATCGCAAGATTGGTCTGATGAGTTATTCATAGCTTGTAGTAGTTATTCAGTATGGATGTGTAGACCAAAAACAAGATCTTACAAAAATGGAGGAGGAAGGAATTATCCACCTAAATGGGAAAAGACAAAGATTTGAGATGGTGAAGTTATTTTTCAAAAGATACACAATCAGAACCAAAGTCCTGCCCTGGGTGTGAACATTTAGCGTTGATAACACCAATCCTATACTGCATAGAACCTGCTGAGCTTGACTGAAAGCTAGCTTGACCTGTCACAGTTAATGGACTTTGATGAAATGGAGGTCAAAGTTTTGACAGCAGAATTGAGTCATTTCCCAAAGTACAATACCTTTTTTTTTTTTCAACAAGCTCCAAATACTTTTCAGATAACATCTGACAAATAAAACACATTAAAATTTCCCCAGAAGTAAATAAATTTTGAGGTTGGTGGTGAATTAAGAGGGACTTTAAGAAAAATTGTCTATGAAGAATAGGAGCTAGCTGATTTGCATAAGAATTGTCCTGGGAGGTTGAATCAGTCAGTCACCATGAGGAAAAGAGTCAGCTGGAGAGAGTAGGAAGACAAGGCTGAGGTTTTGAAGGATGCAGGGCACAGATGGAGGAAAAGCAGGGACCATGGGAGATCAAAGAAACCATCCCATCTAAGTATAGCTCGGTGAGCCAGTGAGCTCACTGCAGTCACTTACAGTCACTCACTGCAGCCTTACAGGAGGAGTGACTCAAAAGCAGCTGCACCGCTAAAAAGCCAATCCCAGCATGGGTGACAAAAATCAATGTAGTTGCATCCTGGAGTTCTAGGCCTAACTTACAAGCCCCTCTATCAAAGACTGTCTTTTCTTCCTCAGAAATTTACTCCTTATATAAGCTCTGTTGTTTGTTTTGGGTGCTATTTTGTTTTGTTTTGAGACAGGGTCCTTGGAACTCACTGTGTAGATTAGGCTGGCCTCAAATTTACAGAGATCCTCCTGCCTAAGGCATGTTCGTGTTTATGTTCTGACACAAACTCTTAAGTACATCCTAGTATTGCAACTTTGTGAGCTTCCTGAGTCTTATGAGTCACTCTCCCTCCAGGAAGGAATATTTTAATTCAGAGGAAATGACTATACAACATGGGTCGGGGAGTGGAAGGGCAGGGCACACAAGAATTATTGATGTTGGAATCCTTGATCAGGGATAATGAAAGAATAGAAAGTGAATACACATATATGCTGCATTCAAATGGTTTGTAACAGAGCAAAGAGGGAGGCAATCTCAGAAGGAAGACAGCTTGCCAGGGTTCCTGGTGGAACAGTCTCAGGAGTTGCCCTGGCCCTGTGGAATAGAAGGCAGAGAGGGAAG